TATAAAAAGAGGGTGACAACGTGACGGACAAGAATGTGTGTGTAGGTAGTGAGTAATTGAACTGCAGTCAGACAGAGACGTATTGTTGAAGTTAACGTTCGTTGATATAGCGTTTGTTATAAAGCGTCTGTTGAAAATAAGTGTATCGTAAAGTTGTATTCGGAAAGAATAAACCAGTTTTATTAAGTAAGGACTTGTGTCGCTAAAGTTTTGTCGGAACGAAGTTACGGGAAGTTAATTAACAAACGGAGAGGTAACAATACTATAAAATGTTTATACACAGTGTTAAGATTTGCTTGTTTGTTTGTTATTAAGCACAAAGCTGCACAATGAGTTTTATATGCTGTGCTCACCACGTGTATAGAAACTTGATTTTTAGTGTTATAAGCATTCAGACTCACCGCTTCGCCGTTTGAGGGGTTACTTAATTTGTTTGTTTCAAGCATAAAGCTACATAATGGGCTATCTGTGCTCTGCCCAACCACGGGTATCGAAACCCGGTTTCCAGCGTTGTAAGTCCACGGACTTACTGTGCCACTAGGGGTCGGCACTGAATTAGGAAGTAACCAGTATTATTGCACATTCGTTTCAATTTATTGATTTACATTCTTTTATCGACAAAAATTAGACTGCATTTCGAAAACTGCTACAAGGTTATTGTTTTTTTTTCTACGTTACTGAAAATAGCAGAAACGTCAAAATCATCGTTAAACTGGTACATAATTAAAAACCTTTTATTTAGGCCTATCTATGACCTTCAAAAAGTTGACGACTCTACATGTTTCGACGTTACAACGTCATCCTCAGGAGTGTATTCATACCGCATTGAAAACAATTTAGAAAAAAGTGAATATTTTTTAAAAAGGATTTTTTCTGGGAGGTACTGCATGGGAAAAGTGTCCGAATTGTGCTTTTTAGTCTTACGAAACTCATTGCGTCAAAATTATTCAATGTATAAAATTCAAAATTTTCATAAGTTTTCCTGATATAAACTGTAATGTTTTTATTTATTAAAAATGGTATTGAAAAATAGTATTGTAGTTTTTATTAGTACTCCACTTTATCAGTACTACATTTAAAAATTACATCAATAAACATATAATCAAACCCCCAGTGAAAGCCGTGTTCTTATTGTGAGGAGAGTACTTTATTAGAAATTGTGTTCTGTAATAAAGAAATGGTTGTAGCACATACCACAGTTATTTTTATAATTGTCTGAATCTTGAATACCCAAAGTGTGAATTTTTTTATGGATTTTTGTTTGTGGTGTCATTCAATAGATGGCGCATGAGTTTTGGTTATATACATAGATAGTGACATACGTCCATTATGGTATGATTTCACATGAGTCTGCATAGCTTGCAGTGCTTATGGCGCTACGTAACTTAACTAAATCACCAACCCTTACGTACCAATGAAATAAACTGTTTTACATATCTATAGATATGCTTAATAATTAGTTATAATTCCTAATGATTAAAGTAGTAATCCTTTTATGAATACTGACTTGTAAACTAGTGCGCTGTAATATAATAAAAAACAAATGGTAAAATGTGTCTCTGGCCTACAGGTAGAATCTTAAGCTACGTCTGTGAACTGAACATTTTCTAGTTTTACATTGAAGGATGTCTAAGGATAATACACAAAAAAAATTATAATTGTTGTAAATATTTCATGATTGAAGTTTCTATACTGATACATGCAGCCTTATATCCCGATATACGGTTTCAAATTATAGTGTTTAAGTTTGTTTGTTTGTAATTAAGCACATAGCTACACAATGTGCTGTCTGTGCTCTGCCCACCACGGGTATCGAAACTCAGTTTCTAGCGTTGTAAGTCCGCAGACATACAACGATGTGCCACTGGGGGACGCTATTTTACTTCATTCAAATTATGGTGTTTTTTTATTATAAAACACTGTGTAAAGCAATACATGTTTCATATCTAATTTTATTTCTTGTTTCTTCATAGGGATGGGCAGACAACTTCAATGGACCAGCTGGAATGATTGTTGCTGTACGTCTTCTTGTTTTCTAGACAACTAATTAAGATTATTTCTTTAAGTAACTTAAAGCTTAAGCTAGAGAGGTTGTAAACTGCCTGTATGATTATTAATCCGTTTCAAGAAATTTTGAACTATAATTTGTTTATATAGTCGTATATTGTCCACATACACCTACATATGTTACTTTTAGTAATTATGAATGGTGTTTTTCACGTAAGTTACCGTTTATGAGTAGCGTTATTTACCCATCTTTGGCGCATTTTGCCCACAAAATTTGTCCCAGTAGTATATGTATTATTAGCGAACGGATGTTTTTGTTTTTAATCCGTCAAAGAATGCGTGGTAAATATACGGGATTTCTACAAATTTATTCGCCCACATTTGAAACAACTCATACTCTCTTATCTCATTAGTGCTTCATATGCGAAACAGGGAAATCTTAACTTAATTTTTTCCATTCACATACTTTAAACCTATCTGAGAATTTATTAATTATATTCGTAAAACATGCTTTTTTTAGTATTTCAGGCAGCGTAGACATTGTAAAGTTGAAATTTGCAATGTCTGTTCCTGCATTTTTCAGTGGGACAATATTTCGGTCTATTGTCTGAGGCTACCTTCATTACAAATTTCTCTTTTTCGAATTTTTGGTGGCTCTTTTTCAATTCTAATAAACTGAAATAATGTATTCTAGCAACGGTCATTGAACGACGAGTATGTTTATAAACAACACAAGCACTGCAAGACATTCACACTGAATGATAATATGCACTTATCGGGCAATTAACATGCTGAAAGATGCTTATTTAACTTTCAAATTAATTCGTATTCTTGTTAAAGTATTTGTAATGCATTCGTGGCGGCTTTCATGTATGATGCAACTCGTATTTCTCTATTAGACAGGGAAGGGCATGTTGAGATCTATGATGTGTGAAAGCAGTAAAATCAGCGATCTAATTCCCGTGGATATTGTCATAAACTTGATGATAACTGTCGCTTGGCACACCTCAATTCACAGGTAATCTTTCTTCAACCGTTTATTGTTCTTACTTAAGTAAGTTATGCCATTTTTTAAACGTTGTTTTATTGATACTTATGTACTTTTCTATTATTTAGTATCTTTATCTAATTTGTGACTACAGAGGGTTGAGTGCGTCGTATTAAAACTATTTTGAATATGCAATCAGTAAGTCACTTAACAAGCGCAACCGACATAAAGTGTCGGTGGAACAGATTGTACTGGAAGTTCATTTTGACATTGTTTGGCGTTGGGTAATATTGTGATGCCATTAAAAATTGATCGTTTTTGGATAGAGTGTGTAAAAGGCCTTTCAGATACACACCATAAATATGTGTTCGGATTAGGGATTTAGAATTTCAAAGACTTGGATGTCTCTTATACTTACACAATTGGAAAACAAAGGAGTATGGATCATTTTGGGGACCCGGAACCATCCAGAAAGTTATCTGCAAAACATAGTGCCCAAACCGTGGTAATCAGAGTGGAAAATCTTGTAACAAGTGAGGATCTACCAATACAAAGGTCAGTGGCATTCGATGTCCCCGTACTCCAGGCAACAGTATGCAACATAATCATTAAGGATATCCGTCTGAAAAAGTGACACAAGTTCCTTTCACAGCATATCTGTTCAACTATCTCATACCTCAAGCAGCTGAGAAACCGTTATCCTCGTACACTAAATGAATTATGGGAAACCAGTAAGGAATGGTGTGCTTTGAACATGTCAGTTTTGCGATGAAGCCTTTGCAGTGAAGATTATACTGTAGATGCACGGTCGTCAGATAGTCATGAACGGTCGACTTGATTTGGTTGAGGTTCCAAAATCGTTTTAATATAAGGTACTCAACCTCTGCGTTAATGTTAGAAAAAAACTTTACTATTTCATAAGTAATGTAAAAATGAAATGTTTTATTTGACATCCTAATACAACTTGAAACGCTTTATTCGATTATACCTTTCTTAATAAAAAAAAAAAGTGCAATTCTAGTATGGTAAACTTGCACAATATGAATATTAAATTCCAATTTTTCAAACCTGCACATTATATTTCGTTCTATAATTTCTTAACAATCTCTGTTTATAAGCTCAAGTGAGTTGTATGTTTTCATCTTTTAAGACACAACGAGCTAAAGGTGTACAACTGTACTTCAGGCTCTTTGAATCCTGTTAAGTGGAAAGCCTGGGTAATGTACGTTTTGCCAGCACTGAAGAAATATCCTAGTGGTCAAATATTTCGTTCTCCTGGAGGCACTTTTAAAACAAATCATCAGTGGAATAGTATTTGCCAATTTTTTCAACATCATATACCTGCACATGCAATGGATATTTTAGCTAAACTTTCTGGACAGAAACCAAAGTGAGAAACTTTTATTTACATTACAAGTTTCAAGTTTAATATCTTCTTCTAGAAAAACCGATAACAGACATTTATAGTGAAATTCGGAAAAAAGATGAGTACTAATAATTATTTCTCATCATTACATATAATGATAACATCAAGTAGCAGTCAGTATCTCCGAACTTAGCTTGTACTTATTAATTGATAAACCCATTGATTTATTTTTTGTTTTCAGGATGGTATGGCTGTACTCAAAGATTCACCGAGCAGTTAACTCTTTAGAATATTTCACCATGAGAGAGTGGATCTTTCACTGCAACAATGTCCTAAATCTTTCTCATCAACAAATTGGACAAGACAAAGAGGTATTGTATTGTCACTTTTGACTCACTTGAGTCAATATGAATCTAATCAATAGTAAAGTAAAAGAACACGGTAATACCAAACAAACATTTTTAATTACGGTGTTTTGGCCAGGTGGTTAGGGCCCCGGCATGACCAGGTGGTTAGGGCGCTCGACTCGCAATCTGAGGATCACGGGTTCGAATCACCGTCACACCAAACATGCTTGCCCTTTCAGCCGTGGGGGCGTTATAATGTTATAGTTCGTTGGTAAAAGAGTAGCCCAAGAGTTGGTGGTGATGACTAGCTAGCTGCCTTCCCTCTAGTCTTACACTGCTAAATTAGGGACGGATAGCCCTCGTGTAGTTTTGCGCGAAATTCAAAAAAAACAAACACAATAGTCTAACTACAAAAAAACAGCATTAATTGTTAAAAGAGTACTTTGTTATAGAATCAAAAGTTTAGAAACAACAGAAATCCTTCAAAGAAAAAATAAAAATAAGGATAATAATAAAACGAAAATACTGAGAATCCGAAATTGATTAAATTAATGAAAAAATGAGGAATTGATGCTATTATTTGGTGTTGGATGTTCATTGAAAAAGGAAAGGCTTTATTCAATTAAAAGTTCATAACTTGTGGTTCGGGAATTTAAATTATCTAGAAGTATGGGGTGTATGTTGTTCTCATTGTGTAATCAGATACAAGACTTGGGTGGATTAGTTAGCTTATATCTGCTTCTAGCTAAAATTCCCTCAATCAGTTCAAAATGAGGGACGAATATATCGCGGGTAGCCCTTTGTGTAGCTTTGGGAGACAATTCAGAAACAAACAAACCAAACTAGTATCAGCTCAGTGTAATCGATAACATGATATAATCGATAACCTTTAGAGATATTTATATTTCTATAAATAATGAAACTGGCGTGATTTTTAATGATGTAATCTCTGATATTCGAAAAGAGTTTGAAGGCTTTCAAACATTCCAATTGTTTGAAACCCTAGATTAATTTTCTAGGTTATCACCAAAATAAACTAACAAAATATATCGGCTCGCATCAAGCGACAAAACCTGTGTTGTGGTCAGATAAGAATCGCTCTTTCGTCAAATATAAGCCCCGATTTGCCCAACTAGAGCGATAGTAGGGGATGCCAACAATGGAGTTATGCGTGTTTAAAGCTTGGGGAATTGCTTTGACATATATATAATATTGGCAAACCTCTTCGAAACAACTGTACTGCTACACAATTTCAGAAACTCTTCATTTTCTGAATAATTCAAAATGTGCTTATGTCCCCCTAGAACAGCAGTCACGCTATGCACTTAAAATGCTAAAATCAGCGGTTCGATTCCCCGCGGTGGACACAGCAAATAGTCCAATGTGGCTTTGCTAAAAAAACAAACACACAAACAATCGCTGTGATATTATAAATGTTTAGTTTTATCATATGAAAGCCTAAAAGTTCTTCTGGATCTTCTAGATATTTGGATTTATAGAAGTCTGATACTTCATCCTGACTTTCCAAATGTTTAGTTTGATCATATGAAAGCCTAAAAGTTCTTCTGGATCTTCTAGATATTTGGATTTATAGAAGTCTGATACTTCATCCTGACTTTCCAAATGTTTGTTTTTATATTAAACGTTGTCAGTTGATCTGGATCTTCTAGGTACTTAAGTTAATGATGGTCTAACAATTCACTTGGATCTTCTAGGTTCATGGAAGGCTAACAGTTCATCCTGACTTTCCAAATGTTTAGTTTTTGATATTAAACGTTGTCAGTTGATCTGGATCTTCTAGGTACTTAAGTTAATGATGGTCTAACAATTCACTTGGATCTTCTAGGTTCATGGAAGGCTAACAGTTCATCTTGATTTTCCAAATGTTTAGTTTTTGATATTAAACGTTGTCAGTTGATCTGGATCTTCTAGGTACTTAAGTTAATGATGGTCTAACAATTCACTTGGATCTTCTAGGTTCATGGAAGACTAACAGTTCATCCTGACTTTCTACATCTTTAGTTTTATGATACTAAACGTTGTCAGTCGATCTGGATCTTCTAGGTACTTAAGTTAATG